ATTAGAAGCAAGGATGGTGAGACTTTGTCTTACCTACTTTGGGCATGTTATCAGGAGGCACCAGTCCCTGCATAAGGACATCATGCTTGGTAGAGTAGAGGAAGACCCTCAATAAGATGGATCAACACAGTGGCTGCAACAATGGGCTCAAGCGTAACAACGATTGTGAGGATGGCGCAGGACTGGGCAGTGTTTTGTTCTGTTGTACAAGGGTCGCTATGAGTCGGAACTGACTCAACTGCTCCTAACAACGACAATCTTTCAAATATTAATCTTTTGAAAAAGCAAACTCACAGGAACAGTTAATTTTTCTGAAATTCAAAGCCAATTTCTGTACAACCCTGCTTCCAATCAAATCTTAAATTACCTACTTAATTATTAATTAATCTCTTTTAAAAAAACTAGAACTTGGAACTTATTCATTAAACACTTAGAATCCTCAAAAGTCAGTGAAGTTGAAGTTGAGTTTAGGAAGAACATCAAAACATAAAGACCATACAATAATGCTAGCAATTCATAATTCTTTTATACCTGCTAGTTCTATCTCTATAAACATTAAAAGCATTGTTTTTTTAAAGCAATAAGCAAAATACAATACTACTTCCTCAATAAAAACTTGTTAATATCCATACACTTAAAATAATTTCCTGAGAATAATAAGTTGTATTAAAATCATAAAATAGTATCTGACTTACAGGTGCTGCAGGGAAGTAGTTAGAAAGTTCAAAAGGCTCCTCGGAAATCCAATGACCCATTTCCAAAGACCATAGTACCTACAAGTGATACAAAAAACACAATACTTATTATGGATTGTTAGGTTTTTAGTAGGTAATAAACCAAGAGTTACTTTGACGATATATTAAAAAAAAAAAACCAACCAACTGACCAACCAAACACAGTTTATTTTGTTGCTCATTATAACAAACAGTAGCAGCCACACGTGCCGGAGATGGAAAACAGATATGTTCCTGAACAGCCAAGTGCCTTCAGGGTCTTCATGTTGCATAAATGTTATGAATATTAACAAATACTTGATTAAGAAAAAAATATCATGGTGATAGAAAAGCGGTTATTATCCTAGTGACACCAAACATTTAAACATTAATCCTTTTCTAAACATACGTAATACTATATTTTTGAAAACATTCCAAGTTCCAAATTTGTGGAGTCATTTATAGACATTCTCCAGTAAAAATTCCAGTATTTACTAATTAAAATAAACAAATAAATCAGGAAAAGACACATCACAAGCTTGATTCAAAAACGATCCCTTTGGCTTGTGACTTTGTTTTTAGCACTGGCCAATATACTCAAGCAGAAGAAGTTCTCTCTAATACATTTGATTATTTACTTAATGATTTAAAAGGAGAAAATCCTTCCCAGACCTTGGAAGAGTAAACCATCTCATAAACAAGCTTTTAAAACTATTATTATTATTATTTTAATCCACATATTTTTCAATGATTAAAACAATGCTTTCATTTTTTAATCCAACAATGATGTTTGAGATTCTGCAGTCATCTCTACTCTATGACCAAACTCCCTGAAAATTTGTATGTTTCTATATACTCCTAAAAATTTTACAGGTAAAATAACAAACTGAATCATGTAACTCTGGTTTATTTTTATATGCAATTTTATCTCATACTCAGTAAACCCATTTTTTTTCTATAGTTGCTATATAAATTTTAAGCTCTTTTTTGCTAATTACCAGGAAAGAGACTTCATTATTGCATTTTGGTAGTTTTTATGGTTCAAAACCATCTATGGGCTATCTGTCTTAAATAGTTCCTTCTCTCTATATTAAAGCTAGTACTTTTCCCACACGAGACAGTAATCTTTTTCTAAGTGAAGGGTACACGACAGTAGAATAAATAGGAAAAAGAAGAGGATATAGTATCTGAATGGTAATTCTTAGCACTGGTTTGATCCTTACTTTAAACAGAATATATTTATTTATTCAACAACAATTTTTGCTGCTCATTACCTGTTCATCTGTCAAAAATTTACTGAGAGCCTACCATGAATAAGAACCTCAAAACAAACCCCAAATCTAGAGGAGTCCATCCTCTTGTGAGAGATATAAAGGTAAACCAGAAATTGGAGGAAGCAAGCTAACTCAATCTGGGAGAATCAGGAAAGCTCCGCAGGTGAGCTGAGATTTTCAGCTTGGTCTTAAGTGATAGGTAAAAGTTAATCAGGCAAAGGTAGAGACACTGGGCAGGGGAGAGGATATTCCATCACAGAAAGAATACCATGTGCAAAGACAGACTGAGGATTATAAGTAGGTTTTCTTCCCCTTTTTTGGCTATAGTGGAGGGTGCTTTGGAAGACACGGTAAGAAAACAGGGTTGGCTGAATCCAGATGGTAAGGTATAATAATAAATCCTGTTCCTATCCCTGTCTGCTCGGTGACATTATCACACGGCAAAGGCAGTGGTGGGCATGAGAATCAGAGAACAAGCCAAATGAGACAGGAGAAGCAACAGCTCAGAGGCCTAGGGGCCCAGAAGATACAATGGAAATGGAATATAATGCAAGAAAATCTGTCTCCATTAGAAAGAGACAAAATAACAAGTTATGGTCTCAGGGACACTGTTCAGTATAACAATTTAACCTTCAAATAGATCTGTGTGTACATGAACATTTTGTCATTTAAGTACCTTTTTGTATTCTCCTAGTTTGTATTGCCTAAACAACATTACAAAAACAAAACAAAATAAAAAAACAACAAACAAAAAACTCCACAAGACTTAATAATGAAACAGGCAACTCTACACTGAAATTGCTCCTTATGAGTGGTTAAAAACACTTCAGTAACAAAGTATTTACCTTGCTCTTCTCAATGTATGCTACCACTTAGGGAGATACACTCACAATATGTACACTGCTTCTACAAACTCACATAATTTGCCCAGAAAATAAAATGTAAGGAACATTCAAACCCAGGTCATTTCGGACATGAACCAATGTAAAAGAATAGCACAGTGAGGAACACAATGCCCCAGTAAAGGCTTAAAAGTGTTTGCAGTATCTGAGTTCAAACATAATCCACATTAAAACGTCATCCAAACTTAAACAATCTCTTGGAGAAAATTCATGCCCTATGAATTTGTCCCTTCTGAAATGTTAAGAAAATAAAGTCATCCACAGTAGAATTTTGGTAAGTACATTAATAAACATAATCCATATAGATATTCCAGGAA